TGATAAGCGACTGATAAGTAACTCATAAGAGATTTACGAAAATATCACTTTTAATCTCAGTAATCACTCCAAATCTTATATATGATTGGTTTAAAAAACTTTTTCGCATAATAAAAATTAAAATTTTAGCCCATACGCTATTGTCAATAACGATAATGTTAAATCGATTAACTGATTGATTTTTGCCCTCTGCAGATCATTATGTCATGTAAAATCTGTAAAATCACAAAAGATGTACACCTTTTTGCAAACCCGATTTGGCATATTCAAACGTTTTTATCTGAATAAAGTCAAAATGCACGAGCTCAGAACGCTAAGTTTTATTACTTTTATTATAAATATTGAGCATACTGTTTTTGATTAGTGTAGATCTGTTTCCAAATATGGATTTTGGAGATGTCTAACAGATTCAATACACTCACGTACGTACGCGTACGTGCGTATTGTACGTACCTGGTAAACATCTTCTCACACGTCTCTCAAAGAAAAAAATCATAACAAAAAATGGCTACAATTTATACACTTTTTGGGCTTCCTACCCCTGAAACATTTCAAAAAAAACCATTTCATGAAGTACCATTTCAAAAAGAAAAAGAACCATTTCAAAAAAAACCATATCCATTTCAAAAAAACCAAAAAAAACCATTTCAAAAAAGACAAAAAAAACCATTTCAAAAAATGACTACACTTCCTGCACTTCCTCTTGAAATATTCTATATGATATTTAAGAACGTCGAGATTAAAGAATTACATAAATACTTGCTCATAAATCGTCAAATGTGCAAAATTATTGTACCTTTGCTATGGAACGAAGCAGGACGATATTTCATTAAAAAAAGTCTTATAAGAGTACTTTTTTCAACACTAAATGCAAATGAACAATCTTTAATGATTCCTTTTAAAATCACACTCCCTAAAGTAAACCCACTTTTTGAATATACAAGTTACATCAGTTCAGTTAACAAAGATTTTTATGTGGGTGTTAGATCTTTTTTTGATAAAGATGGTAAAAATGGTGGTTATGCAGAAAATGCCGCTATACATGCTTTAATTACAATGTTATTAAGAACTGGCAAGAACCTTAGGTATTTATATCTTGAAGAAACGCTTCGCAAACCAGGAATTGAATTTCATCAAAGTGCAGTTTGCTCAGTAGATTTATGTATCCCTTACGATATAGATAG